AAAAACAAAACAAAAAAAAGAACGAAAACGACGCGCTACTTGGCACGTTCTGAAGTTGACTGGGACTTGAAGTTCCCCGTAGTGCTACAGGCGCCCGTTTAAAACGGGCAGCGATTTTTAGGTAGGTTTTTCTTCTTTCTTTCTTTTGTTTTTTTRTTAGATKCTTWGATTCTTTTTAGATTTTTTTTCTTAGATTTAGTTTAAATCTTTATTTTTTCCTTTTTTATTTTTATTTTTTTGTACCCGTTCGTTTTAAACGAACGGGCAGATAGGTCTGTGCCGACGGTTTCGTCGGACTTCCACCGACTCATTAGGGGGCTTAGCCCCGACGGCCCATCTGCGGATGGGCAGATGAACCTGCCGCCCGCGGGCGGCTACGTTCAGGATCCTTAGAGAGAGAGAGAGAGAGTCCCCCTTTTGTGGCTGTAGGCCAGTCTGTGCCCGTTCGTTTGAGCAACGGGCTGCAGAACGGCGCCGTACCTGGTGCCATAGGTGCCCAGGTACAGGCGCAGGGCAGGGGGAGAAAGAAGACCCTGTTGAGCTTGACTCTAATTCGACTCTGTGAAATGACTTGGGGGAAGGGGGGGGTGCTCGTTCGTCTCTCAGACGACGAGCCGCCCCTGCCTGTGAGGAAAAAAAAAACGAAAAGAAAAAAAGGGGGAGAAGTGGGGAAAAAAAAAGAGAACGGCCGCGGATCTAACCGCGGCCTCGGTCCAGATGTAAGTTTATAAGCATCTGGACTGTGAATAGACTGCAGACTATTGAACCCAACAGTCTGCTTGAAAATAACTGAGTACAGCCATTTGTGTACTGCGTCTGGCCATGGGTGAAGGCCAGATGCACTGTCAAGGGTCAGAACTTGGTTCCCCTAGGGGAACATCAAGTTCCTTGGCCCTTGATCACAAGTTTGATCAAGGGCCAGACTCTATTCCAGGATTTGGCTGGGGGCAAAGCAGCTGCCCTCAGCCTTCGGCCAACTATAAAAGCTAGCCTGCCACCCAGCAGCCTTACACTTGTGGCAATGTTGCTGGGGGATTCTACCTAAGGAGATGCTGGCTGGCTGCTGGCTGCTGGTGTGATGAGGCAAAGTGCTGGAGGTCTGCAAAAGCACTTGGAGGAAGGAGGAGGCAGCCATAGCTAAAGGCTAGGAGCTGCTTGCCCCACCTTCCGTGCTATGTTGCGGGCTATGGGGAAGCCGTAGCCTTGAGGCTGCTGCTGGACTTGGCGGTACGGCGGAAGCGCGACCGAAATTCTTGCAGCGGCAACACTGTTTTTTTTGGCGGTACGGCGCGGGTGCTACTGGATTGTGTGGCAACAGTATTTTGCACATGGCTGCGAGAAGGGGGGTTGGATGTTGCCGCAGGGACGATACCGCCAAGGAGGAAGTACACTTTGTAATAGAAAGGGTGTGGCGATCGTCTTGTTGAGGACGTGCGACACGCGGTACCTGTAAGGACTGTTAAGGCCGTTGTTATTTTTTTTACGGCATATCGAGTAAGTGGGGATTAAGTCCGAGACCACCAAGTATTACGGTAGGCAGGTGGTGGCCTGACTTGGTATTTGGTGGGTTGAATCGGTGCTGTCTTTGGTGGAAGGCGTGACATTGAGACTGCGGGATTTGAGAGTGTGACGCCCTCCTCAACGACGGGCTCGCTTTTGTGTTGGTGAGCGACACCTGGGTCAGAGGTGGCGGTTGAAGGAGGGTGTGACCCAACCTTGTGAGTGGCCACAACGAGAGTTTTGCGGCCGAACTTTTTTCAGCGAATACTTGGYTTTCTTGAGTGARCCTTCAARAAATTCACTCAAGGTCAGTGTGACTCARCTCCTCTTTACACCCGCGTGAACCCACACATTGCATGACCTTGCTTTGAATTCAGGGGAAAAGGTGGAGCAAGAGTGTGACGTCATGCGTGTGAAGAAAGGGCTGACTTGTTTGGGGGATGGATGAATCTCTGGATTGTTTCTTTTCCTGATTGTGCAGGTAGGTTGGGAGATGCACGTGAGAAGGAATCAACATTGTTTGCTCGAGATAATAATGAGGATGCTTACCTCTCTCCCACTCAACCTGAATGCATGTGACGGAAAAGAGGAGGAACATAAATAATAACGGGAGTGTGAACGGACGGGTGCCGGAAGAACGAAGACCGTGGGGAAATTAAAAGACGAGAAGACAAGGGAACACCTTAGTATCTTCCCAAGGACTCCCCATTCTATCCCAAACGACCATTATCCTCCTATGCCCGTCTAAAAATATTTTACTTCTTTCTCTTCTTAATTCGTCTAAGTCGACCCTTAGCCGGGAGGGCATAGAGCGGTCGTCTGCACCTAGGGTCTAGGCTTCTTCTCTCTAGGAGGTATCTGAGGCGGGGAATCGTTGCCATAGGGGCCGACCCTGTTATCGATTCGGAGCGGACCGCTTATGCGGGGGGATACCATGCTGTTGCGGTGGAGCTAGCCCAACTTCTGAGTCCTCAACAATGCGTTCGGGCGAGGCGGAGGGGTATTCCAAACCACTTCCAAGAGGGTGGGGTGTCTTGAAGCTAGGAGCAGTCGCCTCCTCGTGCTTTCAGGGAAAGGGGAGGCTGAATCTAGTACCCTGTTCGGTGGCCGCCTTAGGAGCCACCAACGCATGGGAGGGCCGGCGCCATAAGAAACCCAGCTCGTGGCTCAATTAGAGTTACCGCTTCGTCGTTCAGATGTTTGCGGAAACGGTGATCCTCCGACCATTCAGCACATGCGAGGCGGCGGTCAATTGGCTAGCGGTGCCGACACGATCCGGCGCCGGCATGACACGGAAAAGAAGTCTGGTGTACAACCCTCTACAGGTTTACTCGGACCGGGACGTGCCACGATTCTGGGAGGGGAACGCGAGAAAACCACCGCGGAGTTATATTTTCTTGGTCGAGCCAGACCAGCGTATTGTGCGATATGATTCTGCGTCTCCTAATCCATCATGAGATTACGGAGACATGAACTTAGTTGTGGTTCACGGGGACTGTCCAGAAGTAGAGAACATTCCTGAGGTTAGAGGGATGTTCCTCCATATTGTACTTCAATTGAACGATTTGAATGGTCCGTTCGGCCTCCTTCATCATGTGAGACGGGTCCGAGCGAATAGATTTAATATCATTCGCTCGGAACGTTTCGACGTCACCGCGTTTTATGACGAGGCTTGTGAAATTTACGAGCGCCTCTTCTAACAGGTGACTTCTTCGGTATGCAGATGCCTAGCGGACGGCGAGACTTCACTCAGGCCAGATATCTACTGATTCGCGACACTACGGACGAGGAGCTGATCGAGCGAGCGGAGCGACTATTACTGACTCAAGATGGAGTGTCCACACGTTGGGTTTGTTTCATTGGCCTGCTCAGTGATGGGCAGGGATTTTTCCCTAACTCGCGCGCAGATGTTCGTGCCAATGTAGCCCGACTTCCGGACGAAGTTCATGGATACACCTTGTACTTCCATCGCGCAAGCGACCTCCAATGCCTTTCTCGGGTCATTGTGAGCGTCAAAATTACCCTATCCGGGGAGCGCTACGGCATTATCCGGATTAAAGAAACCACTACCACGCACCTGTTTCGGATGCGCCAACCGTTCCGTGCCATAGTTTGGAGGCTCGCCTCACGGGTGGTTTCTCTCTACGATACGCGGAAGGTCCGAGTTATGCGAGGCGGACGTGTCTCCACCTTGACTTTTNGCCTCACGGGTGGTTTCTCTCTACGATACGCGGAAGGTCCGAGTTATGCGAGGCGGACGTGTCTCCACCTTGACTTTTGACGACGAGGAGCTTACGCGACTCGACCGGATAGAGGTAGAGGCCCGTGAGGGCCGACAGGTTTATCCTGGCTGAGCGCACCCTCTCGAGTCAGGTGCAGTGGTAAGTGGTTCTTTTGTAGGGCCACATCTACGTGACTCTACAAGGGTAATAATAACAAAAACAAACAACAATCTTGCGTAGGAAGGCCAACCAGATGGATAGTATCTGGATTGCCCCGATGATAGCACTATCACGCTGATGCATTGAGGGGTAATCAACCACTTAAAAATAAAAACCAAACACCTGAGAAGGTGTCGAGCAAAAGGGCGAGGGCGAAGTATCAGGAGATGAAACATCTCCATGCCAAGTATCTGGTGTTGGGGATGGGTACTTCGTCATTCGTGGAACGGAGAGAGTAATTATTGCCTAGGAGGACGAATCGACCGACAGAATTGTCAGTCGCTCCCCCGAATAGATGTATGTGGTACGACAATATGATCGAACCGGGAATTCAAACATCGACCAGGAGCCAGATCACTTGTTGATCTGCATGGTACCGGCGGTATTCAATTGTAAAAGCTGTGCGCGACGGATCTCCCGTCTTTGGACGGCAGTGCAACTGCCTCGTCGGTCGTGTAGGCAGGAAATGATAACCTTGGCAGACCATCTCATCGAGTCGAAATGTACTTTATTTATTTTATGAGCAAGGGATCATAAAGGGACTAGGATTATATGATGTGTTTCACGTTTAGTCGAGGCGGTCCTAGTCGACCGACGCTCGTTCGTACCGAGGAGATCAGCGCCATCGGGAACGGACAACGTTCGGGTCCACTTGGCGTTAACCAAGCGTACCTATACTTCAGCGAACGAGCAAACGCCCTCGGCTGACCTACCTCTGCAATTGCATGTAAAAGCTTTCGCACGTGGGTCAATAGCTCGGTAGGGATACGCCCCTGAGGGTGGTGACAGCCCCTCAGGGAAAGTAAGTTGTGCTCCGCGAAAACCTATTCTGTCGTAGGGGACCGAGGGATGTACAGCTAGCGCACCCGGCTAGAGCGGCGAAGGGACAATGCAACCGCGTCCGTCTCGGCGGTTCACGGAATCACTTATGCATCGTCCTAAGTTGTCTCTTGATTTTGTTTTGTTCTAACTCCTGCGTGACATAGCCGGGAGTGCCCTCGTTTACGTGAGGGCCGATGCGCTCGACAGGTGACACCGTTGCCGGGGATGACGGCGAATTAGCGTTGTCCCTGGTAGAACGACACTCGGAAAAATGATGGTTGTAGGGATTTTTAGTATTCTGTATTATTTGTTTGGATTGAAAGTAGTCAATGGTTATTAATGTCTGGGAAATGAAAGAAGGCAAGGTTTTGAGTGAATTGTTGAAATCTATTTGACACTTGGACATAGTGGTTTGTCGTGTTGATTCTCTTAGGATGACGGGAGGAAATATTGATCCCGCAAATAGTAATGCAGGGGATCGTCGCAACGATATTCTGGAACTCGCACGAGCCATTTGTGAGGCCGATAATCAGAAGGCGCAACTGCCAAAGGTTCAAGTTGCCCTCTTCGATGGCACCAATGCCTCAACATGGGTGGACAAGTTTGAACAATTGGGCAGTTGCTGCGAATGGTCGAGTGAGAAGATGCTTCAAATGGTGAAGCGATATTGTATGGTCGAGTACAAAGAGGAGGTGTCGGAGTTGGTGCAAGCTTCGCGCGACTGGACGGACTTCAAGGCCAAATTATTGGACAAGTACCAATTGGGGGATCAACTGCTCGATCTGGCGGACTTACGGAAAGTCAGCCGTCGGAAATTTGGTACGGCCAAGCAGTTTCTCACGGAGTTCGAACGAGTTGCGCGCTTAGTGCCTGATCTTCCTGATAAGGATCGGTGCCTCATCTTCCTCAAAAACTTTTCAGAAGTTGAGCAGCGAGAACTGATAAAGGATATGACTGGACGATACGACTGGCCAAAGATCAAGGAGAATTTGTTGGCTGGAAGTTTCGACCAGATGCTTTACCGTCTCCTGAAGCAGCAAAAGGAGGACCGCGAGAAGGAAGGGGTAAGCGCGGACAAGGATCAAGCCGTTTACAAAACCTTGACTGATATGCGGAACATGATGGCTGACATGAAGGAGGAAAGGTTGAAGTTGCAAGTAATGATGGTCCAAACAAAGGGTGGAAAAAGGAAGGGAAAAGCTCCCGTCGTGGAGGAGGTGAGTAGTAGCAGCAGCGAAGAGGAAGATGAGGAGGAAGTGGAGCCCGCTCGAAAAATGACCAAGGCAGAACGAAAGGCTCTGAATCAAATACGAGGAGGGCAAGGCACTAGCAAAAGGCAACGAAACAATAATGGAGGAGGTGGACAAGGAAGCAACCAGGAACAGGCGACGCAGACCCCTCCTCAGCAACCCCAACCTCAGGCAGGAGGCCGGGGCCGAGGTCGAGGTAGAGGCTAAGGCAATCGAGGAGACCGAGGAAATGGGGGCGGCCGAGGCAATTGGCAGAATTGGTTTTGCAAGTACTGTGGCCAAGATGGACATGGGATACGGTTTTGTCAGACCGTTACCAAAGATGAAAACGATAAGGTTATATATACGAATATCCGAGGCGAGGTCTACGACTTCGAAGGGAATCTCATCGATCCCAATGTGGAGGGAGGAATGGGAAAGGAAACTTTCCGACGCATGGGGCGAGATCTTCCAGCAACTTTTCGACTGACTACTCTGGAAGAAGTCGAACAGATTGAGTTGGAAGCGACGATGAAGTCATTGACAATTGAGGATGCCAAGGCCGGAGATGAAGGGTTGAGCAAAGAGCAGGAAGAGATACTGCAGCGAGCTCAAGCAGTGGTCAAAAAAATGACTTGATGCAGGAAAGTTTTTGTTCAAATATGCGCCGACATGAATGAAGAATGGCCCGGGCTTCCCCAAGTTTTTCTGTTTGGAGGATGGGATAGAGACGGCCAAGGAGGTCTTACTGATGGTACCGCGTCACAGCCTGGATCGCCGTCGGCAGGGCGTTTGATGGCCACCACAATCTTGTCCCGTCTTGCTTTCAAGCGACCTGCCACAGCTGACCTCCCACAAACTCGGAGGGCTCGAAGGCCGTCGCGGCCAAGGGCAGCACCGGAAGAAGGGCCAAGTCAGCCTTGGGAAACCGAGACGATTTCGATTGAAGAAGACGATGGCGAGGAGGATGAAGTGCTGCGAGCCGAGGATGAACGGCAGGCCAAACAACGGGTCACGGAGAGGGACCCAGAAACGGACAAGGCTGATATTGGGGAAGGTGAGTTGAAAAGGAAGAAGCAAGTTTACACAATCCGGGTGGAGCAAGGGCTGGATATCGAGCAAATTGTGGACCGGATTCTGGAGAGCCAATGCGATTTGTTCACACTCAAGCAATTCTTGGCCGCGTCATCGAAAATCCGAGAGGAGTTCAGACACCGACTGTCAAGGAAAAAGGTGATGACGGTTAAGATGAGTGATATCTTTCCTCAAGAGATTAGTTGGGCTCCGCCTGGGACAAAAATGGACTGGCACTGTATAACTACTGGGTTGTTGAAAGTGCAAGTTGGGCCGTGTGAATATTCAGCGCTCATCGATGATGGGGCTGAAATGAACATTATACGGGAAAGAGAAGCCATGGGGGCGGGAGTCAACATCAATCGAGCAGATACTGGATTTCTGGTGGGTGCAAGTGGGATAACTCCCTTTTGCGGAACGGCGAGTGACGTGACGGTACAAGTTGGTAAAGTGAAAGTCCGTTCTTATTTTTATGTGTTACCCAGGGTTGAGCATGCCGTGTTGCTGGGCACAACTTTTTTATGTCGATCAGAATCCATCATCTTTAACAAGCACGATGGTACTATGATCGTGGTTTTGTGTGACACCGTATGTGGCTATTACGAGGTGCTGAAGTGTGAGAACACAGGACCAACCAACTCAAGGAACCGACTCAATCCGGGGTCCTACTCTTTCACGGAATCCGAAAGACTCAGAAGGGAGAAGGAATCCCTCGGAGAAGAGAGCGATCCCCATGAATTTTCTCTTGCTCTACCCAACATCTCTCAAGCGATCGAGTTCGTTGCGACAGACTCGTCTTCTGAGGGTGATGCATTGGCGGAGCCAGAAGCCAAGCAAGGGCCTTTTTTAGAGGTGGACGACTTGGAGTTGGAGCGAAACGTAAGTACAAGAGAGTAGGCGAGAAAGCTCGGCCGGTGTCCATCTTGATCACGCAAGAGGAAGAAGTGTACTATAAAGAGGAGAGAGAATGGATCAGGATGAGGAAAAAAAAAAGTATGAAGGCGCCATGTCGATTGACGGAGGAGAGAATTAAGAATATGATCATTGGAGAGGAAGGGTCTCTTACTGAGAAGGAGGTAGACTTCCTTGTCAGTGTCATGAAGAAAACTCATCTGGCTTACGCCTTCGATGATGACGAGTGAGGGAGGCTTGACGTTGACATGATTCCGATGATCAGGGTTCATACGGTACCTCACGAGCCGTGGAACATACGAGGTCCGCGTTATCCAAATCTGGATGATCATCGTAGAGTCGTTGAATATTTGGATGGTAAGATTCGGACAAAGGTCGCGGATTACTCATATGGACCATATGCGTCCCCTTCGTTTTGTTTCATCAAGCCAAATGGCGTATTGCGATGGGTGCAGAATTTGCAGAAGCTGAACTCAGTGACGGTTCGTGATGCCGGAGGACTTCCACATGTCGATCAGCTGTCTGAGTCATGCGCAGGCAGACCTATCATCACTCTCATTGACTTGTACTCAGGATATGATAAATTCCCTCTCTACACGGCAGACAGGCCAATGGCGGCCATGCATACGCCGAGGGGATTAATTCATATGTGTGCGGCGCCTCAGGGATGGACGAACGCCGTAGCAATTGTTCAGAGATATATGATGAGAGTCATGCAACTACTTTGTCCGGACGTGACCTCACCTTATATTGATGACTTGGCCATACCTGGGCCGCGCGTAAAGGATGAGACGGAGGTGCTGCCAGGCGTTCGAAAGTTTGTTTGGGAGCACGTTAGTAGCGTGGAGAAGGTCCTGTCCAAGTTAAAGGAGTACAACCTCACCGCCAGCGGTGTCAAATCTCGGCATTGTATGTGTGAGGCAACTATCTTGGGCTTCTTGTGCGATGAGAAGGGCCGTCGGCCAGATTCCAAGAAGACAAACAAGATTCTGGAATGACCGACTCCACGTAAGTCCATCACTGATGTGCGCAGTTTTTTTGGGACTTGCGGATTTTGGCGCATCTTCATTCGCAAGTTTGCAGCAAGGGTGGAGCACCTACGGAAGTTGGTGCGTAAAAATCAGGAATGGGAATGGGGTCCAAAGCAGCAGGCGGCAGTTGACGATATCAAGGCACAGTTCCGAGAAGGAGGGTTGATCTTGGGGGTTCCGTGCTTTGACAATGACCCGAATCGACCCTTTGTGGTTGAAACGGATGCAGGCCCCACAGCATTTGGTGGTGTCCTCATCCAAAAGGATGGAGAAGGGCGAGAAAGGCCATTGAGATTTGAAAGTCGAACGCTGAATGAGGCGGAACGGAAGTATTCCCAATTTAAAAAGGAAACCCTTGCAGTGCTTCATTGCTTCAGGATCTTCCGAAACTACGTATTTGGAAGACGGTTCGTCCTGCGGGTTGATCCGACCGCCCTGGTGCAGTCATTGAAGAATTATTCTCGCTCGAGTCCAACTATTGCTCGATGGTTGATCTATATCTGGATGTTCGATTTCGAGATCGAGCATATTGCGGGAACACAAAATCGAACCGACAGATTGAGTTGGATCGAGTGGGACTCCTCGAAAGATCAGGCAGAAGACTCGGTCCCTGTGGATGGGTTTCTGGAGACGAACGAGCAACAACTAAGTATAAATGTTTGAGAATACATCAGTAATGCGTCGTCCCGACCTGGGAAGTCTATCTGGAGTTAGTTTTTATCAAAAGTGTGCAGAGCTGGTGATGAGGGAACCCTTTTTTGAGGAGGATCCTTGGGGTGAACGGTCTGCTGAGCGGATGATGAGGTTGGCGTTGTCTGACCCAGTACAATGTTCGGAAGAACCTCTTACGATTGAAGGGGGGCATGAGCAAGGCGACGAAGTCCTCAAGATTTATGGGGGAATCGTGTTTCTAGCTAATTCGTTGATACAGGAAGATCACGGTAAGTTAATGTTGGAAGAAGGGGAAGGCAGTGAGATCAAAGAAGCCTTTCGTGAGGAGGAATATGATGGGACTTATAAGAAGATTGGGCTTTGGTTGAATGKGGACTTGMATGAGGCARAGAKAGAGYCAGAAATAAGAGAAAAGGCAAAGGGTTTTGTCGTTCGACAGGGGCATCTCTTCAAAAAGTCTGACGATGGTACGCCTAAGAGAGTGGTGTGTGGGGTTCCCAGACAGTTGGATGTGATTGCGGCCCTACATGATGGAGTGGTAGGTGGACATCGATCTGCACGAGTGACCTTGAGAAAGATCCAACATCTCTATTTTTAGGATGATATGGGTAAGATGGTGATAAAGTTCTGCAACTCGTGTGTCCCCTGTCAGAAACGTTCGAATCTCCGCTATGTTGAGCCACTTAATCCACGATATGTGGTTGAGCCAGGGGCGGTTGTGCACCTCGACCTGGTCGTTATGCCACCCGGACTTAATGGGTACAGGTACATATTTGATGCGAGAGACAATCTTACCGGGTTTGTTGATGGGCGTGCAATCCGTAAGCGAACCGGAAAAATTTTGGAGGAGTGTATAGAAGAGTTTTACCATCGGTATCCATTTGTTCGGGAATTTGTGATGGATCGAGGAGGTGAATTTCGGGCAGAAGAAGTTCAGGCTCTGCTGAGGAGACTAGGAGTGAACTATAGTTATACCACTAGAGCGCTGTCGGGCGCATCGGTCCGGCACCGCACGGGGGCAGCGCGGGACCCTCTCGGCCGCGTCACGCAGGAGTTGGTTTTAAAACCCTTCGTCGCAATATACATGGAGCTTCCACAAGCCGCTCCGGCCGAGTGCGTCAGCCATACCTCTCACGAACCCCTACGACAGGATAGGGCCTACGCGAGGCACGACTTACGTACACCTTACGGGAGCTGTCACCTCCCTTCGGTGGGCGTATCCCCGCCGAGCTACCAGCCCACAGTACGAAAGCTAGTCAGTTGCAATCGCAGAGGTGGACCAGCCGAGGGCGTTTCTCTTTCGCTGTAGCATAGGGGGTACGCGCGGTAATACGCCTCTTTCGAACCCGCACGCGAATCGGCATCTTGGGGGGGCTGAGGTCCCAATCGCGACCCGTCATCGGTCGACTAGGACGAATCCCACACACCACGCGCACTCCACTTTACGAATACACATGCACACAAAACAACACATACGAGACGATACAACACAAACAACGCGACAACACTTCTAGCCCCTCGGTAGCCAACCCATAACTTTCCAACGCGAATATCGAATAAGCGTCGCGCGCGAGACTAGGTATAAAACCGCGCGGACGCAGGGCTATCTCATATCGACTCGCAATGCAATTGTACGCAGCCAGTCGCAATGAAGGCGTACTATGTAGTGCCCATAATCAAGCGGCCCCTCGTGAAATCGAGTACCGCTTATGACACTCGAGTGTCTGACTTGAAGTGTCGTGAGGGCCTAACCCTTCATGACATTGCACGGCTGAAGGAATAGCCGTGCAGCCGCCACGACACCTCCGGCTCTTGGCCTGAGTGTCTCGATAGGCAAATCAAATAGGCCTTGTGCGAGGGAAAACCCCTCCCCTGCAGAGCCTAGGGCTTGGGGTGTCCTGGAGAAGGACCTCGAATCCCAGCCCAGGACCAAACGTCCGACTAAGAAAATCATCAAAAAGCAGGAACAAATATAGAAGTAGGGTTCTCCCCTAAGTTCCTCAGTCCCAGCTTCTGAGTGGGGCTTTAATATGGGGATTCTTCAACCCATGCAAACATTCATCCCAAGTATACCCATGTATACGTATATAAGGGTTTAGTATGTGACGATCACTTTTCACGGTCTCACTGGGGTTTCTCATAATAATACGTATATGTGTGATCGCAGGCAACCAAATCCAGAACCTGACTCACAGCACATACCTGCAGTCACATCAACGAACCAAATCAACAACCCACACATTACACGGAGTCAATCCCAACCACCTTCGACACTCATACCCCTCGCTTTATACAAGCCCCAAAACCTCCTGTCCAACCAACCTTAATTAAATACTCAGTACCTTTGTTAAATGGCCATTCAATAAAAGTCCGGGTGAAAACCTTAATAAAACAACGAAGATCACCAAGGCTAAAGCCTTTTAGGTTGAATATGGAGGGAGAGTTGAAATTGAGTCGTAGACCGACGAATCGACAACCGACCTGTTATCCGTGATAACAGTAAGTGACCCTCAAAGGATCAAACTGGATCTAGCCCTGAACGTGGATCAAATGATCAAAAGGACATGAAACACACGACAGATCAATCCCCAAGCTAAGATCATAAGTGTATGGAGAATATAACTACATAATACATCCTCCCTCAAAATCTCCCTATAAGTTGAACTTAAGTCTACTTTTAAACCAAATGCTTAAGCTAAAGGTACACCAACTACGAAATCTCCCCTATTTTGGGTGGATTGCCTGAATCGCCACCTGTCAAAAATATAGTCTATCTCCTTTAAACTAAGAAAATTTTCGGCAGCGCTTCCCGTAGAAAAAGTGTCTTTCCAGAATTTATATAAGCTCAAATATGAACGCCGAAATAATCTCTAAGTCTGGAAAGTCAAAATTTTGTCTAATTCTCCAAATTAGTAGAAATTTGGGCAGCACTCCCTTTAGAAAAGGAGACTTCCCAGATTTATACTAAGTCAGATAT